TTATATCAGATATTGTTATATCAGTTATTACAAGTTTCTGAAGACACACATCGTCTAAACCTAACAGTCTTATTTTCTTTGTTTAGTTCAAGTACCTAAATGACTAGGAAGGCTCGTTGTCCGAATTTTAATGGACTCGAGGGTCTTCACAGGAGGAGAGGCGTGAGGTGAACGAACCAGAAGGACCGGCGACGGCACATCCACCACGGGAGCTGGGTGAGCCAAAGAGCCTTCTGGCTCGAAGCTTGCGATGTTTGAAGTGCCGTCGCCGGAAGCTTACAAACACCAGCCCGGTGTTGTGACATCGTATTATGCCAAGCGAAACTTACGGTCTCCCTAGATCGTTAATTTGCGATCCAGCTTTACGACGTCTAGTTTGCACCATTGCGTACTTAACCCAGGACGAACCGACGGTAGCCAGAAATCAGTCTCTTGCTAGTCTTCAACTCAAACTTGGAAATCACCAGTCTGCTCGCGATGAAAATTTTAGACCAAACTTGAGAATCAGGAGTCTGACACCGCGATGAAAATTGTATACCAGAATTGAAAATCACGTGTCTGACTTGTGATGAAAATTGTAGACCAAACTTGAAAATCACAAGTCTAACTCCTGATGAGGATTTCACATCGAACTTGAAAATCCCAGACTCTGGCTCCGTGGTGACCATTTTAATCCAAACTTGAAAATTAACGAGTCTAATTCATGATGAAAATTTCAGGTCATTTCCAAGAAAAGAATGAAGAAGGTTAAAATCCATAAAGGTCCACCTGCGCGGATCTAGGGGGCGTGTCGTTTACCCAGAGATTGTAACCGATTGGATTCAGCATCCCCAGCCCGTCCCAGGGCTGGCAACCACCGCTGCGTCCGCTGCAGAAGCCGGGACAATGTGACAGGCGTGACAAGATATAAACGCCGGCGTTCTCCGCGACCGCAGAAGTGCATCAACAGGCTGACACTGAGAAACGTCCTCGTTACACGCGGAGCAGCTCTTGGTCGCATCGCGTGGCCACCTCGTTAATTCAACCGACGGCCATTAAATTAAGCCCGCGGAGCCAGCTCCGAACGCTTTGAACTCGACGGCGGTAAAAAGACGATGAAGAAGACGCAGAGAAAAGACGCGAGAGAGTTCGGTATCGCCGCGGCATTGTCCACCGGAGGCGAGATGAAAGATGGGTCGATGACGTGAGAGCTCTTATCATTCGCTCGATAGACGCCCCGACTTCTTTCCATATCGCGTTTATTTCCAATTGCTAGATTGCGCCTGTCGAGAGTAATTTAGAAGAGACGCTTTCATCCTTTGATGCAGAGGGATCTCTTTTGCGTTGGAAGCTCTAGTATTTTTATAATAGTTAATTATTGTAGGATGACGACGATCCAAGCAGGAGGAGTTAAGCTAGAACCTAGCCTAGACCTAACCACATTGTACAGATATTTTATTCTACTAGTAGGCTTGTACTGACTATGATAGATACTTGGTGCGATTAGATTAAGGCTTTCCTCAGCAAAAATGCGACTAGTGATAGAAACTCAGACCTAACGACATTATGCAGATATATTATTGTACTACTAGACATGTACTGTCTATCATAAATACTTAACGCGATAAGATCAATACTTTTCTCAGCGAAAATGTGACTAGGAATAGAAATTCGTGTTACTCATCAACGATATTAATATCATAAACATCTACGGTCTCAATTCACAAAATGGCGCAGCTCCGAGCGACTTCGACGGAAGACGTAGATTGTCCCTACGGCCTTGGTCAGACGTCGAAATCGGAAACGTAACACGAGTTTCTATCGATTTCTCGCGAGCGTGTTCGTAAATTGACACGCCAGATGCTCGATCGTTCATTCATGAAAATAGTCCATCGATGGTTTGCGAAGAAACCAATCGGTTCAAAGAATCCTCCTCTTGGCAAAGAAGCGAGAGCTCGAGCTCGCGTGGAGACGGGAACGTCGCGAGGAATCGGTCGCGAAGCCTCGACGAAGACGCGGATCCGTTGCGAAATTTTCGAGGTCGCGACCTGCGCTTTTTCTCTTTTTTCTTCAATGCGACGATAAGCGGCTGCAGTGACGCCGATCGAACGCCCCGTATCGTTCACTCGTCGTCAGGCTGAAAAACCTCGACCGGAAAATTGGGGAAACTTTGGAAAATAGGCACTACTGTAACGAACTTTGATGAAGAGGAAGTTGACGAAGAGGAACTTTGGTTCAGAGGAAGTTCCTAGAGGTACGTTTACTCTGGGGTAATCGAGGCATTCGCTGGATTAATTGAAGTTTTATGGAGCAGATTTTTTAGATTTCTAGACTCCTCAGGAGACTAAACCGAGCTGAGGAAGAATGAACAAACATGGGAATCGAGGAAGATAGATAGAGAAAGATGAAGAGAATTGGAGGAACCTAGGACCAACTACAGAAAATATAAATAGTTACCTACTATAATAGATTAATGTAATAGATTGGTACTAGCAATAATAGTATAGTTGTATAGTTCAGTATAGTACCAGCGTACAATAATCTAGATATACTTGTCTAGAATA